TTGGTTTAATTTGCAATCTCAACTAGATAGATGGTTATCTGTTTATGGCAAGATTGATCAGATTCATAAGACCTATTGTATGGTGGCCAGTGTAGTTGGATTTTTTTTAATCAGGCGGCACCAGTGTATGAAGATACTTGCTGCCTTTGGCCAAGTTGTTCAGATGCATAACAGATGCACAAGACCTATTGCATGGTGCACGCAAAGTTTAGGTCAGAACTTTGTGACCTGGGAAGTAAGTGTGCCTTTAAAATAATGATTCTTTAATCCGAAATAAGTTCTTTTTCATAGTTATTATATCCCAAATGGAAATTTGCTTATGTCTTCAACTTTCATTTCATCTGCTGTTTTCGAACTGCCGTCGTTACTTGTAAAATGGAGATTACACGAATGTAACGTATTAGCTTTATAACGTATTGATTTGTCAGTATACAATTTGCAAGTTTCATGGCTTAAAGCAGTGAAAGCAGACCGGACAAAAACTTATTAAAATTGTACAATTATGTTTGAAAATTTAAATACAGCCCAATGTTTGTTCAGTTTAGAATAACATTTAATTCCCCTTATTAGACGCCTTACAATGGTTGTCCGTGAAGCAAATCATTGTATATTTGACTATGGTTTTCATTTTTAAAGTAGTTAACGATTTGCTGCCTCGATATTTGTGTAATCGAATTGAAAGAGGAAGTGCCTTTCATGGATATAAAATTAGAAACGCGATTGAAATAAGAACACCACATTTCTTGAATAGTGCTTCACAAAATTCATTATATTTTAAAGGAATAAATGTTTTCAATACGATGCCTAGATAAATCAAACGTTCTGCAACACTTACAGAATTTAAAAGACGCTGCACGTTGAAACTTTCTTTTGAACAGTTAACCAGTTATATTTTTTATGAAGTGACAAATTATGTGTCTTAACATAGTTATCTCTAACGTATGGATAGCTGACTTTGTTAACACTCCGAATACGATGCCTCCGAAAAACGTGTAACAGCAAGTTTGCAATAGCATAACTTACCCATTTCTTAATGAATTTCAAAAATTTTGGTACCTCTAGAATTCCTAGGGTCTGTAGATTATTTTGATTGTAAAAAGATTAAAAATAGGGTCGTCTACTTTATTCAAAAGCGAAAAGAGTCGTTACACTTTTTTTTTTAAAGGAGTGTTTATGGGTTTTGCAAGTGGCCTAAGATCCATAAATTAGATTAATGGGCACAAATGTTCATAATTAGCCAGAATACAGTCATGGTTCCTATATATGGATCATATAGACAACGAAACGGTCCTCCGGAAGATTCGGAACATCCGTAAAATTGATCAATCCACGAAACTAATCATAGAGGTCCGCGGTTTTTTCGAAAACATTAGGAACTGTGATATAAGAAAAAAAATTGGGATCATGACATAAACACGGATCCGGATGGCCATAAGAGCGTGCTCAGGAAGATCCGAAACATCTGTCAAAGTAGTCAATCCATGAAACTGATCCTAGAGCTCCGCGGTTTTTTCGAAAACACTTGGAACTGTGATATAAGAAAGAGTTTGGGGTCGTCACATAAAAATCGACCAGGATGGCCATGGGATCATCCTCATCCGGAACATCCGTAAAAGTGATTCATCCATGAAACTGATTCTAGAGCTCCGCGTTTTTTTTTCGAAAACACTAGTACCTGTGATATAAGAAATAATATAGGGTCGTGAAATAAACAGGAAGATCCGAAAGATCCTTAAAAGTGGTCCATCAATGAAACTGATCCTAGAGCTCCAGGGTTTTTTTTTTCAAAAACATTAGTAACAGTGATAAAAGAAAGAATTTGGGTTCATTACATAAACACGGACCCAGATGGCTATAGGACCATCCTCCGGAAAATCCGAAACATCTGTAAAAGTGGTCCATCCATGAAAATGATCCTAGAGCTCCACAGTTTTTTTTTCGAAAGCACGTGGAACTGTTATATAAGAAAGAATTTGGGGTCGTGACATAAACATGAACCGAAAGATTCGGAGCATCGGTAAAAATGGTTCATCCATGAAACTGATTCTAGAGCTCAGCAGTTTTTTTTAAATCTCTTGGAACTGTGATATAAGAAAGGTCGTTACGTAAACATGGACCTTGATGGGCATGAGACCATCCTCTGGAAGATCTGGAACATCTTTAAAAGTGGTAAATCCATGAAACTAATGCTAGAGCTCCGCAGTTTATTACAAGCAATATTAGGAACTGTGTTAAAAGAATAAATTTGGGGTCGTGACTTAAACATGAACCTGGATGGCCATTGGACCGTCATTCGGAAGATCCGGAACATCGGTAAAAATGTTTCATACATGAAACATACTTCGAAAACTTCACAGCTCGAAGTGTTCTCGAGAAACCCACGAAGTTCTAGAATCAGTATCATCGATACACCACTTTTACGGATCTTCCGCAAGACGGTTTCATGGTCATCCGGGCTCATGTTTATGTTACGACCCCAAATTAATTCTTATATCACAGTTCCATGTGTTTTCGAAAAAAAAAACCGTGGAACTAATGGATCAGTTTTATGGATTGACCATTTTACGGATGTTCCGGATCTTCCAGACAACGATCCCATGGCCATGCAGGACCCAAAATTCTAATATCACAGTTCCTAATGTTTTTGAAAAAACTGTGGAGCTCTAGGATCAGTTTCATTGGTTGACCTCTTTTCTGGATGTTTTGGACCTACCAGAGGACGGCCCCGTGGCCATTCGGGTCCATGTTTATGTTATGACCCCAAATTTTTTCTTATATCACAGATCCTAATGCTTTCGAAAAAAACCACGGATTTCTAGGATCAGTTTCATGGATTGACCATTTTCAAGGATGTTCCAGATCTTCCAGAGGACGGTCCCATGGTCTTCTAGGTACATGTTTATGTCATGACCCTTAATTAATTTATATATGACACTTCCCCGTGTTTTCGAAAAAACCGTTGGGCTCTAGGATCAGTTTCATAGATTGAACACTTTTACGGATGTTCCGGATCTTCCGGAGGATGGTCCGATGGCCATCCGGGTGCATGTTTATGTCATGAACCCAAATTATTTTTTATATCACAGTTCCTAATGTTTTCGAAAACACCGCGGAGTTCTAGGATCAGGGGTTTATGGATAGACCACTTTTACGGATGTTACGGATCTTTTGAGGACCGTTCCGTTATATCCAGGTTCTATATATAGGAATCATGACTGTATTCTGGCTAGTTACGAACATTTGTGCCCATTAATCTAATTTATGGATCTTAGGCCACTTGCAAAACCCATAAACACTCCTTTTAAAAAAACGTGTAACGACTCTTTTCGATTTTGAATAAAGTAGACGACCCTATTTTTAATCTTTTTACAATCAAAATAATCTACAGACCCTAGGAATTTTTGAAATTCATTAAGAAACTGCTAAGTTCTGCTATTGCAAACTTGCTGTTACACGTTTTTCGGAGGCTTCGTAGTCGGCGTAAAGTATTTTACCCACCGTATTCGGAGTGTTAATAATTATTGTTGCATTGCAAAAACTATTTTGTTCGCCACGATGATGATGATGGATTTTTAATATTTGATGTAATAGTAGTAGATTTAAGAAAAAAATTAGTCTGCAAAGGTTTGAGCCTCGCGCGCGTATTACGGATATAGAGGACTGAATTTAACATTTGATAAAACAAAATTGCAATTTCGAAGCTACTTTGGAAGATACCTTGAGTAAGTAGTAAATTTTCTGGCAAATGTCGGTGTTTCGTGAGCATTCCTGACATTGCTGAAAATTATGATAGCATCAGATTGCGGGGTTGCTAGTGTAATTGGATGCTTTGTGGATTAATTATTAACTCTTGATCGCTTTTAATACTTATGAATATTTTAGGTGGACAAAAAGGCGAGCTAAGAGGTGGACGCCTAAGCTTTTTCACATTTATATCGCTATGAAGCAACTGTAAACTCTAGAGGGAATTTATATCTGTAATTGTAACCAGTTCGATTTTGTTTGCTAACCTGGTTAAAATGTCATATTTAATTATCTTAAAGATAAAACGTCCAGCTCAAACTTTTGTAGGGGTAAGAGGTGGGAACATCATCATCATCATAACAGGCCTAACATTTGATAACGGCACAAAAGCTTTTGTAAACAATCTTTTTAAGGCCATTTACACGCGAATCGAAGTACGCTCACCCAAACCAACAACATCATCGGATAGGGGCAACTTACACTTTTTCTAAAGTGGTATTGGTTTGCGTGGACGTACTTTGGTTCGCATGTAAAGGGCCTTAAAAAGTTTGTTTACAAATACTTTTGTGCCGTTATCAAATGTTACGCCTGTTATAACCCTATTTAAATAAGTTTTAAGACCGGCAATATATTCAGTGTAATCAAATGTGCGGTTGAAACAGATTGCAGGCCGTGATAACTTGGAAGGAAAAAGAGGAGAGGTGTGGTCTGCGATAAGTAGAAGAAAGGGCTCCTGTAGAAGAAGCTAGGGTGAACAAATGTAGGAGATAGTCCAGAACATAGAACATAAATGGTACCTGTCGTGTAAATAAGCAGAATAAAGGAGGATATTGATGTTGTGTGCGAAGTATTCAAGTGTTTTCAATGCCGCGATGTTCAAGTGCGTATGCCTACCCTGAGGCAGTGTAGAGGGTGTCTCAGTAGTGCAGGACAGGAAGTTCTCCACCTGCCACAAACTATAGTTAGTATCTAAAACTACAGTGAATTCCGCATTTTCAAAGGTGGTGGACTACGCTGAGTGTGGAAAGGTGGTGCCACATTATGTAGGCATGTCGGCCCCTAGATAGCAGCTGAATTGGTGCCCAAATAATAAAAAAAAAAATTAACCGTTAAATTAGTGGACGATGAACTGCATGCTCAGTGTAATGTCCGTTAGTGGATGTCTCTGTCTGTGTTTGTGGCTTTCTCATTATATGAAAAGGAACAAGTAGTGTTTAAGAAATTATAACCAAAGTTTAATGCAACTAACGCTCATTTATTCAAAACATCACAAGTAAGATGTATAACATAATCGTAACACCTCTCGATTTTTGTTTTCGTCTGTATCACTTTGACATATAGATCGAAACTTATAAAACATAACAAAACTTCAGCATCAATTGCCAAAGGATCTAAACATATGTTTAGCGTCTAAATTAGATCATAGAAAATCTACATCTGTTTCTCGCCATCCTTTGGCCTGCTGTTATAGTATATCTGTTTCATAGACCTTATTTGTAGTCTTTGTAAGATTGCTCACGGTGCCAGTGTTAGTATTGAGTTCACCATTTTTGTCAAAGTTACCATTAGAAGTTTCAATACTGTCAGAAAAATTGTCATCTGTTAAATTTTTTGTAGAGCCACTCATGCCAGACCTCATTTTTTTCTTATCGTCAGGAGTAGCAAGCGGAATGTTATTTTTACTCATTTGTTGTAAACGTTGATATTGTTCTTGTAATTGTTTTTGTTTTTTCAACAACTCTTGATGACGCATTTCGAGAGCCTGTTGTCGCTGAGAGTTATCTGAGCTAACAGATTCGCTGCTGGAATCCATTCCAGAATCTTTAGTCATATTTTCAGAATTGATAATACTTTGCTGATCTATGTCTGACATTTGTTGCATTTGATGAGGCATGTTGGGACTGGTGGGACTGGCCAATGGGCTGCGAGAACTTGTTCGCGGCGGTGGAGGTGGTGGTACACGCTTGCAGTTGACTTTAGATAGCAAGTCGGCATTGCGTTCTGGAACCGGAGGTTTTCCAATAGGACGTATTGGCTGTGGAGGACTTGTGTCCGTGTCTGATCCACTTGGGTATGAATGTAAACGTCGTAAACCTACGTTAGTTGAAATTGCGTCAGGATAAAGCTGTGCTTGTGCCATTTTCGTAGTTACAGTGCTCTGTATAGCCTGAGAGCTGTCATCAGAAGTGGAATCGTCGGGACGAATCTGAAATATTAAAAAAAAACTTCTTATATGATTAAAAGAAAAACTTTATCTTATCAATCATGGTTTACACATGAGAATTCGTGAATTTAAGGGGGATTCCCATTCAAATGGCCACGGTTTTGAAATTCAAAAAGCTTAGAACTTTGTCTTTATTTCCAAATTTTTACAAGGCGAAAAAAAAAACAAAATGGTGCCCGTGGTCACGTTTTGAGTAAGCTAGTGTACGCCTGAAATTGTCAAACTACATACAGCCTGGTACCTCAGGATCGATCTGAAACACGACACGATTAATGAGGCTTTAAAGTGAACTAAATTTATTGGACGGGTAAAAAACCTCAAATTTGACAAAATAGTGTGATCTCAAACTTTTTGGTCGATTTTTCATCCCTTTTTTTCCTCATAAAGGCTTCAGAAAAAATAGTGAATACAAAGAATTTGTAGATTTATAGGTCATTCCTCCAATGAAAAAGGTTTTCTTTCTAATGGTCAAACGTAGAAGTCGTTAAATTGAACCGTTTTCAAATGAGATTGTACGCAGTTTTGAAAAATCATGTTTCGAGATAAACGCTGATGCTCTAAAGCGTCGATAGACTGCTAACCTAAGACGAGGTCATTCCGTTAGCAAGTTAGCTTACGCTACGCAAGTTTTTTTTAATCATGGAAAGGGGTACGGGAGTGAGTTAGCGTTACGTACTTTATAGAGGGGGTTCTTGTCAAGTATTACTTATTGATAAAGGGGGGGGGGGGGCGAAAAAATACCTTCTGGACTTCGAGAAGTGTCCCCAGGGGTCAAATGGGTACAGTTTCCCCTAAGTATCTTTAAATGTTTTTATGGTAAACCATACTATCAGTTTCGAGCTGCATGATGCATGAAGTTGCGTTGTCTCATCACTTTGGTAGGTACATAATACACTAATTAAATTATAAACCAAAAGTTTATTTGGTCATTGCATAAGATTATAAGATATTCAAATCATTATTTTCATATGTGTATGTGTATAACCTCTTACCTACTATAAGCCCATAACACGAATATGCGTGACAGATTTTATTTATATGTATGCTGCCATAAAAATATGGTTCGCATCTTATAGTTGAAGATTATGTGTTTTCAACACATAATTTTGATGTTTGAGCGATTCAGTTTAATGTACACTCAATACAGCTTCAGCCAATAAATTTGCAGGAATTTTCGCTAAATCAGCAAAACTTTTGAGCATTTTGTTCGAAATAACATTATTTGTGAATTTTACGCGGGATGCGGCATCTTCGACGAGGAAAACGTGCAGGAAGAGGAGCTAGAGCCTTGAGGCGGAGAAGTATACGCTAGACCCTCCGAGGCACCTTCGACAGCCACGTACACTTAATCTAGCTCGGTAAAATATCCAACTTCGGCATTTACTTTTGCTGATATCTCTGCAAAATATCTGTTGGTTAGCTGATATCTCAGGAAAATGTTATTTGTTAGTTGAGTCTTGGCGATTGTTTGGCTGAGAGCAAAACAAATTGCAGAATTACCCGGCTGTTGGAATCTCGGCGAAATATTTTAGGTGTGCGGGAGGACTCAAACCGAAAACGCCTCCACGCGTTGCAATATGCAATCTACTGATGTCGGTATAATAAATAACCCACCACATATTGAATAAATGTACTTAACACGTAAACATTATTGTTTGAATTAGACACATAATCGTTATGTTCTACCGAGAAATAAATGTTATAAACCTCACACATAAATTTTATGTGCTAAGGTCCTCAAAATACAATCTTTTGGTATTAAGGTACTTTATTTTGAATATTTTTCTACCCCTTTGAATACATGTTTGAAATTGTTTAATCAAACCGTGTAACACATGTTTAGAATGCTTTCATGTACACACACAGCCAAATCAAACATTTTAGGATAAGCAAAACTTTGTGTGTACTCCCCATTGATCCCTATTCCTGACAGTAGAACTTTCCTAATTGATTCTGAAAGTGGCGTTTGTTTTCTAAAGTCTGTGTTTAATAATTTAAGAATGGTCTGTTTATATTAGGCTTTTACTTGAGTAGAAGATTATTGGAACGGTCTTTATATTGGATTTGTACAGGCTGGAACAGGAAGAAATAAATAATCAACACAATTTTAAGGAAGCATGGTTCCTTTCCATGCATATTTCTTTCCAATCTAAGCATACATTACCTCATTTGTCCCGTTAGGCGGTTTGGCGAATGTTTGCAGTTCATCTAGTAGAGCATCGAGGGCGTTTTCTGGCGCAATTCCCCCGTTGATAGTGACCGCCCCCAACCGGGGACTTGGGACTGGCTGCACGAGAAAAAAAATCAAAATAGTATTCGCATGAAAAGAACAGCTTTATATTATATGATAACATTCCAATCAGATATAAGTAATTATATACAACCAAGATGATTCTCTACTTGTTTGATTTTTCCATTTATTAAATATCAAACTTCTCATGGTTAAAAGTAATTATCAATGATCCATATTATGATTTAAACATTGTTTACTGTTTCAAAGAAATACACACTTAATTTTGTTTGGCGAATCACGGCATTTTTTGCCGAGATTTACACAGTCGAGATCTCAGCAAAAGTGACATTTGATTGTTGAGTCTCGGAATGTTTTGCTGAACCTCAGCAAACAAAAGTATTTAGCTAAAAAAAATGTCTTGCGAAATTATGAAATAGTAAGTTTGTATGTGTAAGTAGCTAGAAAAGATAGTTAAGTTTGTGTTTGACACATAAAACCTGCAAATTTAGCTTTGACAGAATCACAATGAGCGATTTTCTGATTGCCTCTTCGCGAAGAGTTGGTGAGATAAATGACAAAATCCAGGGGGAACGACACTCATTTGAATGTAGTTTTTGAGTCTAGTAATTACTTGGAATTTCCGGGGGAAAAAATAATTGATGGGATTTTTTCGAGTGTGTCGTGTTGACGAAAATAAAGCAGGGATAGAAAAAGTAGATGGAAATAGATCTGGGAATGGATGTGATGTGAGGGGTGTTAAAAAGTTTCAGAGTGATACGAGTTTGAACGCGAAGAGGATAGGTTTTACCTGGGTACTGCGGAGTCGACCAATTTTATTTTGCAAGCCAATAGAAAACTGCTTGAAAATTTTCTCAAGTTTAAAACTGGTTTGCTCTTTCTCAGTTGATTCCCGCCAAAAGCTTTGAGCCAAAAGTGCTCGAGCCCCCATGACTCTATCAAAGTTTGTTTACATACATGTTTCGCAAAGGATTGTTTTACTGTAATTGAAAACTCAGTTGCGTCATAAAAATTATGCTGGTTTTTATACTTTCATCACTGAGCCTGTTGTTTTTTTTTTATCTTTGAGCTTAAAATTAAGAATGTGTTATGAAAAGTATACATTTTTATGAGATTATAATGCTTGACGGTAGATAAGAACAGTAACTGCATTTGCTGCTTCTGAATGTTTGGCTCCCGCTTGACAGTTCACACTGGCTCCCAAGTGACAAGCACCTTGAGTGAGTCCGCAGTACTCAGGGTTTTACCTAAGAGAAGACGTGACAATACGGGGGCGAAAATGAACCACTTTTCTGTCAAACGTGAACCAGCTCCTGATTGGCCGATTTCATGTGCGTAAGATAGAGATAGAGATAGATAAAGATAGAGATAGATAAAGATAGAGATAGATAAAGATAGAGATAGATAAAGATAGAGATAGATAAAGATAGAGACAGATAAAGATAGAGATAGATAAAGATAGAGATAGATAAAGATAGAGAGAGATAAAGATAGAGATAGAAATAGAAATAAAAGAGGAAGAAGCCAATTGTCACCTCTTCCTCTTAGGGTTTTACAAGATACAAATTTGCGTCCATAAATTACGTAACGCTTTTAGGGGGAGAGCGGGTCACCTATATCATTACGAATTATTACATACACTAAACGAAAATCAATTATTTATTCATGTGTTTTACTTATACATTTTTGCCAAAACATCAGCCTTATACATTTCAATGGTACAATGGTCCTGTACCGAATAGGTCGAAAATGTACTGTAGGAGGAATGGGTGGTGGCGATGGATTACTAGGATCCGGTTAATATTACCAGCTGTATTTGGACGGGAATTTGATTTGCAATATTCTCGAACAGAAACTGCATCAGCCGGTGAGTGTCTTTCTTCACCATTAGCTATTTCTTCTCCGAACCCTTGACCAGCAGCAGCGACGAGTACAACTTGAGCCGAGTGGAAAAAATGACCTGAATTCCTTTTCCACCTGCTTGTCGTAGGGGGTTTGATTGGTGATGCTTTTCCCGGGGCTAGAATCAGCAGTTCGAACAAAATCAATAGTTGCTTCGTGCCTGTTTGGCAACATTCCTACAACAAAGAGACACCTGGCCTCTTATCCGTCGAATTCGATCGGTTTGAGTCCGGGATATGAATGAGCCTTGCCGTCTTCTCCGTGATGCACTTGATGTTTTTGCCCCCGCGACCGATTATTGCCAGCAGACATACGTGGTGTTTGTTGTGGAGATTGTTGAAAACTGACAGTGAGTATGGCAGAGTGCTTCGCGGTTTACTTGAAAACTTCAAAAACTGCACGGCTTGCTTGACAATTTGTGTGCATGCAAAAGGGATAAGTTGAAAGAATAGATAGGATGTAAAGAGCCTGAATTTATCCATGCTCTTTAACAGGATGGATTGAAATTTTGTGCACGTTGAAAATTTTATGAGAGGTTTGGTAAAAATTTGAAATACTCAGAGGGAGAGATACACAGCAAAAAAAAATGTAATATCGATCAACGTAATTCAAGCTGATGTATGAAATAATGATGTAATAGCAAAAAGCAGATACAATATTACATCAATGGATGTAATTTTGTTCGCAAAATCGATGTACATCGTACAATGTGATATTACACAACCGATGGATTGACCTGGTTGCAGCAGTTTCGATGTAATATTCAACAACTTTTTTTGCTGTGTAGGCGGAAAAAAACAAAATACAATTCGGCAGCAGGGATCTGTTCCTAAATTATCTTGCAACCCTTGCTAGAAGCTAGCATTTCAAATGACTTTTATTTTTGATTCGATTTACGTGCAAAATAATAATTGATTGCATCGCAATATTTTGTACATTGCTTGGTGCCATTCATTAACCAACGAAGATCAATTAATCAATAGAGTTAGAATATTGTTTTGGTTCCAAAAACTAGTTGAATTTGAGAAGCACACAAAACATAAAGGTGATTGAATTTCTGTTCGATTGCAATACTCTCAAATTTATGCTAGTAAGAATAAGAAATCCCCGGAAAAAATCTAATTGGAATGTTCGATTGGCTCAGATTTTGATAGTTCATTTGGCTCAAAACATTCTCTCCGCCTATCTCTCCCTCTGAGTATTTCTAGTAAAAATGCGATAATCCTGGTTGGTTGTCTTTATTAAGGAGATTTTCAGCCAGACGTTGGTTCATCTCCGGACCCGGGATAATCCTGAAGTTTCGTTCCTCCTGACAAAATCACTTATTGCTATACTCTCATGTAGTAAAATTGACAGGTATTATGTACAAACACAAACTTTACATTTTTTTCTTGTTGCTTACACCGAGGCTTACTGGTTGCATTGGTATTGTAGCAAAAACTCCACGGTTGCTCAGCATGATCGCTGTCCGCTTTGCCACGTGTGCTGCCGTCAAGTGAATGTTTACTGCCATACATCGCATTTTGGACGACAGGAAGGTATTCAGCCAGGTCATTTTTTGATGTATTGACAAGAATGACAAGAATTTTTATAGTACTCTCCGTATGAGGCCGCGGCACAGTCAGAGGGTCAGTGCTGCAAAATCTCGACAGTACACGGTGATATTGACAATTCTGCTTTGGTCACTCATTTGAGCTAACAGTCATAGTCAAGGCAAACCATGTCAATTGTCAATGACAATGGTGTCAGTGACGAACATGAGCAAATTTGTTTATTAGCTAAATTTGTAACGAAATTAAATAACTTGAGCAAAACAATTACATGGATCCATTTTAATGAGCAAGTATCTACGTCCTGAGCTACTTGGATAACAATAATGTGACACAGAATGTACTAAATTACACTTTTTGTTACCAGGTGAATCTTTGTCATTGACGAAAAAATGAATGAGATTTTGACGAAGGTTTTTTTGAGGATCAAGTCTGTCAGTGACTATGTGACGAACAATTTTGTCAATATCGCGCGACAGTCTGTCAATGACAATGACAAATCTCAGCACTGCAGAGGGTTATTGTTGATTGCTACTCTTTCAAAGCGCCTGAGCAAATATCGCATTGCATCTGGTTAGGATGGCACTAATGTCATCTGCTTAGGCAACAATGAGATCCGCTCCACAACTTGCTCCAAGTGCCGCAAGAGATGGTGCAAATATAGCAATGACGTTTATATAAGGTCTGGGCCAAAGGGCTTATGGGTGTTAGTGAAATGTGTAAATGTTTAGTGGTATTCGTATTTTATTGCTATGTTTATCTTTTTACACGAAACAGCTGTTGGCAGTGACGTATTTCTATCTGTTCTCAGTATGTTGGCAGTGACGTATTTCTATCTGTTCGGAGATGTTCAGCAATGTTTACAACATTTTTGCTTCTAACACCAGCAAGCTGCCTGTTGGCCCAGACCTTATATAAATGTCATTGCAAATATAGATGCATGGAGAGGGGGTCCTCTTGCCTTTTCTCCTTTTTGCATTCAACTGGGCGATTCTGACTTTTTTCTGCAAGAGTTGCTTTTTTTTTTTTTTTTTTTTTTTTTTTCTTTATTAGAGAGATTTTTAGCCTAAGGCTAGTTCATCTCTACTGCAAGAGTTGCTTGAAAGATCTTACATTCGGTGTTTGAGCAGTTTTGGGTGCCGATCAGAACGCCATGAGTTCGAGCACATTTTCAAGCCGCTGCTTCAAGACCCGTGAAAGAATTTTATAGTCCACATTGACCAGAATTATTGGCCTGTATGAGCGAGTGGTGTTCCCTGTACCGCGTTTCTTCACCAATCAACGAACTGAGCTGGGAAGTTGGATGGTTGATAGCGGAATACTAAAGGGGAAGCTTACCGGCCCGAAAAAAAAGAAGACGATGTTTTGTGGTTTTTTGAGTCCAACTTTATGTCATAATGAATTATAAAAAATGTTTTTGCACGTGAATTTTCTTTAAAAAATTAGAAAAAATGTGATTTTTTAAAATTTTTGATACCTTTTTTCAATATTTTTAGAAAAATCAAAACTCCGAAAAAATACGCTTCGATTTTTTTTTAAATATTAAAGAAAGATATCCAAAATCTTAAAAAAATCACAATTTTT